CAAGCTGAGCCACTGTCGTCCCAACTGACAAAGCTAATTATGGAATCCAAATATCTTGGTCAAACTGGAAGATATAAGAAGAAAACACAAAACTAAACAAAGCAAAAGGAAAATTGTGATAAAAAACTAAACTAAAACAACTGCAAATATGCCATGATGTTTTTCTTGTGGGGCTTAACTGGGAGCAGGAAGTGGGAGTGGTGGCCATGTTGTCATAGAGCAAAGTGTCAAGATTTCAGATGGATTTGAAAAATGCACTTACAAAATATTATTTGGACGTCGAATGAGTTCCTCGTTTGATTTTGTAGCAGTTTCAGAGTGATGATGATGATTTATGAATTAATAATAATAATAAATTTTATTAGCTCCCCCCTGGACTGCCACCTTAACGTGGTGGGGGAGTTTGAGTACTCGGATGATCCTGGGAGCTATGCTGTCTGGGGCTTCATGCCCCTGGTAGGGTCTCCCATGGCAGACAGGTCTCAGGTGACGAGTCAGACGAAGAGCAGTCAGAAGCCAACATGGACAGCACAAAAAGAAGAACCGTGACGTCGCCCGGCATGGCGCAGCCGGGGCCCCACCCTGGAGCCAGGCCTGGGGTCGGGGCTCGAATGCGAGCGCCTGGTGGCCGGGCCTTAGCCCACGGGGCCCGGCCGGGCTCAGCCCGAAAGGACGACGTGGGCAGTCCCTCCTGTGGGCCCACCACCCGCAGAGGGGTCCGTGGCGGCTCGGTGCAGAGAGGACTGGGCAGCAGTCGAAGGCGGAGACCTCGGCGACCCAGTCCGCACACCCAACATCTGGCTCTTGGGACGTGGAACGTCACCTCACTGGGGGGGAAGGAGCCCGAGCTTGTGGGGGAGGTCGAGAGGTACCGACTAGAGATAGTCGGCCTCACCTCCACACACAGCTTGGGCTCTGGAACCCAACTCCTTGAGAGGGGTTGGACGCTCCACTTTTCTGGTGTTTCTCGCGGGGAGAGGCGGCGAGCTGGGGTGGCCATACTCATTGCCCCCCATCTCAGCCGCCACGTGTTGGAGTTCTCCCCGGTGAATGAGAGGGTCGCGTCCCTCCGCCTTCGGGTGGGGGACAAGTCTCTCACTGTTGTGACGGCCTACGGGCCTAACAGCAGTGCAGAGTACTCGGCCTTCTTGGAGTCCTTGGGAGGGGTACTGGACGGTGCACCGCCCGGGGACTCCGTCATTCTCCTGGGGGACTTTAACGCCCATGTGGGAAGCGCCAGTGACACTTGGAGAGGGGTGATCGGGAAGAATGGCCCCCCTGATCTGAACCCGAGTGGTGTTCAGTTGTTGGACTTCTGTGCTAGTCACGGTTTGTCCATCACGAACACCATGTTTGAGCACAAGGGTGTCCACCAGTGCACGTGGCACCAGGACACCCTAGGCCGGAGGTCGATGATCGACTTTGTTGTCGTATCATCTGACCTTCGGCCGCGTGTTTCGGACACTCGGGTAAAGAGAGGGGCGGAGCTGTCAACCGATCACCACCTGGTCGTGAGTTGGATCCGCTGGCAGGGGAAGAAGCCGGTCAGACCTGGCAGACCCAAGCGTGTAGTGAGGGTCTACTGGGAACGTCTCGCTGAGACCCCTGTCAGACGGACTTTCAACTCACACCTCCGGGAGAGCTTCTCCCAGGTCCCGGCGGAGGAGGGGGATATTGAGTCTGAGTGGACCATGTTCTCTTCCTCTATCGCCGATGCGGCGGCTCGTAGCTGTGGTCGCAAGGTCTCTGGTGCTGGTCCCGGCGGCAACCCCCGAACCCGGTGGTGGACACCGGCAGTAAGGGATGCCGTCAGGCTGAAGAAGGAGTCCTATCGAGCCATGATGGTTCGGGGGACTCCTGAGGCAGCAGTCCAGTACTGGCAGGCCAAGCGTGCCGCGGCCCGGGCTGTTGCAGAGGCAAAAACCCGGGACTGGGAGGAATTCGGAGAGTCCATGGAGCATGACTATCGGTCGGCCTCGAAGAGATTCTGGCAAACTGTCCGGCGCCTCAGGAGGGGGAAGCAGTACTTTGCCAACACCGTGTACGGTGCGGGGGGTGAGCTGCTGACCTCGACCGGGGATATTGTCGGACGGTGGAAGGAATACTTTGAGGTTCTCCTCAATCCCCCCGTCACGTCCTCCGCTCCGGAGGCAGAGGCTGAGGATGTTGGGGCGGATACTTCTGTCACCCTGGCAGAGGTCACCAAGGTGGTTGGCAGCCTCCTTGGTGGCAAGGCGCCGGGAGTGGATGAGATCCGTCCTGACTATCTAAAGTCTCTGGATGTTGTAGGACTGTCTTGGCTGACACGTCTCTGCAACATCGCGTGGCGATCGGGGGCGGTGCCAATGGAGTGGCAGACCGGGGTGGGTGGTCCCTCTCTACAAGAAGGGGGACCGGAGGGTGTGTTCCAATTATCGTGGGATCACACTCCTCAGCCTCCCTGGTAAGGTTTACTCCAAGGTACTGGAGAGGAGGTTACGGCCGATGGTCGAATCTCGGATTCAGGAGGAGCAGTGTGGTTTTCGTCCCGGCCGTGGAACACTGGACCAGCTCTACACTCTCCATCGGATACTCGAGGGTTCATGGGAGTTCGCCCAACCTGTCCACATGTGCTTTGTGGATTTGGAGAAGGCGTTCGACCGTGTTCCCCGGGGTGTCCTTTGGGGGGTCCTCCGTGAGTACGGGGTCCGGGGTCCTCTGCTGAGGGCCGTCCGGTCCCTGTATGACCGGAGCCAGAGCTGTGTTCGCATTGCCGGCAGTAAGTCAGACCTGTTCCCGGTGCATGTTGGCCTCCGCCAGGGCTGCCCTTTGTCACCGGTTCTGTTCACTGTATTCATGGACAGAATTTCTAGGCGCAGCCAAGGGTCGGAGGGGGTCCGGTTCGGGGACCACAGGATTTCATCTCTGCTGTTTGCAGACGATGTTGTCCTGTTGGCTCCAACGAACCAGGACCTACAACATGCACTGGGACGGTTTGCAGCCGAGTGTGAAGCGGCTGGGATGAGAATCAGCACCTCCAAATCTGAGGCCATGGTGCTCGACCGGAAAAAGGTGCCTTGCCCTCTCCGGGTGGGAGGAGAGGCCCTTCCTCAAGTGGAGGAGTTCAAGTATCTCGGGGTCTTGTTCACGAGTGAGGGAAGGATGGAGCGTGAGATTGACAGGCGGATCGGTGCAGCGTGCGCAGTGATGCGGTCGCTGTATCGGACCGTTGTGGTAAAGAGGGAGCTGAGCCGAAAGGCAAAGCTCTCAATTTACCGGTCAATCTTCGTCCCCTCTCTCACCTATGGTCATGAGCTTTGGGTAATGACCGAAAGAACAAGATCGCGGATACAAGCGGTCGAAATGAGCTTCCTCCGCAGAGTGGCTGGGCGCTCCCTTAGAGATAGGGTGAGGAGCTCAGTCACACGGGAGGAGCTCGGAGTAGAACCGCTGCTACTCCACGTCGAGAGGAACCAGTTGAGGTGGCTCGGGCATCTGTTCCGGATGCCTCCTGGACGCCTCCCTGGGGAGGTGTTCCGGGCATGTCCCACCGGGAGGAGGCCCCGGGGAAGACCCAGGACACGCTGGAGGGACTATGTCTCTCAGCTGGCCTGGGAACGCCTTGGACGAGCTGGAGGAGGTGTGTGTGGATAGGGAAGTCTGGGCGTCTCTGCTTAGACTGCTGCCCCCGCGACCCGGCAACGGATGAAGCGGAAGAAAATGGATGGATGGATGGAATAAATTTTATAAATATAGCACCTTTCTGGGCAACAAACAGTTACTCCTATAATTGAGTTTTCCTTCCCAGTCTTTCCTCCAAAGACCACACGATTTTACTGACAGAAGATTCTTAACTATTCTGATGATTCCAATTAAACTTTGATTAAATGCTTCAAAAGCTCGTTACGTTAATTGCATCGACTTATCGTTCTATTTGAATGTCACAGAAACTCTGGGGCTCAGTAATTATTGAGTCTAAATCTTAAAAGGAGAATGTGGTTATTTTTAAATTGATTATCATTAGATTTGAACTGTCACTTACTTATTGTAATAATCAAGAACAAAATGAGTCAATTCTGCTTTTGCTAACTATAATATAAATTTGGATTTAGTTCAATTTCTTTATCAATAATGATCTAACAACATTATGTTATAAAGGAGATGTCCAGGCAGTTCAGTTTTACATTGTGGCGACATCAAAACAGCAAAAGGCTTTACTCAGGCTGCAAATGAAGTTAGCGATCACCCTTTTAGTTTTTTTCCCGAATCATCCAGGTATCAAACAAAGTAATAAAAACAGTCTGTGTGTCGCTGTGACCGTACAAACATGGCTGAATCGCTCTAAAATCAACTTTGAGTAAAGGACAAGAGAAAAAAAATCTTCAATAGCGGCCTCTGAACTGCTTCCCATCATCATAATAATAAATAATGCATTGGTTTTATATACAGTAGATCTCTTTTGACACACACAAACAAAAATCCCATCTAAAAACCTACTTAAAAATACCCTGACGCATCATGCCGCGTGTGATTGATTCCATCTTATTTTGTTCAGCACTTTGAGTTGCTTTGTGTATGAATTGTGCTATACAAATAAACTTACCTTGCCTAAAATCCTATAAGAAAATATCTAAAATTATGTAATTATTTTGTCAAATTACCTTCATAATGCAGCCTCCATCCCTAACAGTGATCATGGACTGTTAGATGTTTGCTAATATCACATCATACTGTTTCTGTGTCTACTTTAAAATTATTATTCTTTTATAGTCAACTGGTATTTTATTGTTTTTATTACATTTGTATTGTTTTTACTTTATCGCTGTCCATCCCTTTGGAAACTTTTTATATAAAACGTGCTAGATAAATAAAATGGATTGGATTAAAACCTGCAGAGAGGGGATTCTGCTCAGCTCTGAACTGCAAAGTACTTCCGAGACCTACTTTCTCAAAACAGCTGTATCTCTGACTTTAACTGTTGTAACAAAGGGCAGGCGGACAGGGCCGATCCATCACGTTACCGGGTAGGTCGTTTTGGTGATCTCCAGCAGCTTCTGTTTGGCTCGGCGCTCCGCATCCTTGGCTTCGGTCAGGTCCTGCTTCAGATGGTCCGCCTCTTTTAACCTGGAAACACATCGACTTTAGCCACGGCGCTGCTAATGAGGCACGGTGGGAGGTTGGCGAGAAAAAGAGAGAGAGGCAGAGACGGTGGGACACCACGCGAGCCGCAGAGGTAATGGTCCAGGAGTGTGATTTTAACTAGGTGGAGCAGGTCAATCAATCAGTGAGTGCAGCAGGAGGAGAGAGACATTGCGATCGCTCCTGTAGAGAAGCATGAGGTGAGCCCTGGTTGCTGAAGCTAAGAGATACAGACAGCCATCCATCAAACATTAACAAGACAACGCTCAGGTTTATAGTTTGGATAAGGACGATGAGATAATATTAATGCATACAGAGACAAGAGAGACTAGAGAGACCAGAGAGAGAAACCAGAGAGAGACCAGCGAGAGACCAGCGAGAGACCAGAGAAAGACCAGAGAGAGACCAGCGAGAGACCAGAGAAAGACCAGAGAGAGGGATCAGAGAACGATCATAGAGAGATCGGAAAGGGAGACCAAAGACAGACAAGGTTAAAATGGACTAACATTAGTGTAGTTCCATCCCCAGTGAGTCCAGTGTCTGTATGTGATGTCCAGAGGCACTGACCTCCGCTCTGACTGCTCCACCAGTTTGACGGCCAGCTGCTCCGCCTCCCTCATCTTCTGCTCCATCAGTCTTTTCTCCTCTTTGGTCTTCAGCGCCGTCACCTCCAGCCGCTGCCGCTCCTGCTCGGCGTCCGCGGCTTTGTGGGCCAGCAGCTTGGCCTCCTCCTCCGCGATCTGGGCCTTCTCCGCCAAGAGGTCAGCCGTCTCCTCCGAACGCAGCTGAGACAAAGGGGACGCAATTAGAGAAGGCGGCTCCCAGATATTATTACCTAACTCAATTCACTGGGAAGGAAATGCCACAGCAGCAGTTACTTCAAAGGACAAGTGTTATGCAAATTAGTTTTTGTTTTGAGCATTTAAGCGCATCTACATTTTTGCTCCATCAACGTTAATAACAGGAACAAATGTCTCTTTACTGATCTCAATCCTGTTTTGTCAACACAAATCTGTAAAATATGATGTAATGTACAGAGCAGAGCAGTTTTCTGTTTTTTTTTCTGGGCGGCACGGTGGCTGAGTGGATAGCACTCTCGCCTCTCAGCAAGAAGGTCCTGGGTTCAAATCCCAGTCGGACCAGGGCCTTTCTGAGTGGAGTTTGCATGTTCTCCCTGTGTCTGCGTAGGTTTCCTCCGGGTACTCCGGTTTCCCCTACCACTAAAAATATGTCCAATAGTTCAGGCATGCGCCTCTGTACTGGCGACCCCGCTCCCATCTCTGTGTGGAGTGAGAGACAAATGCCCATAATTAACAATTGTAAACCGCTTTGAGACTCAGATCTGCAGTGAAAAGGCGGTATATAAATAAAGATTACTTACTTACTACTACTTTTTTAAATCTGATTAATAATGTATGGTTAAACACATCCATCTAGTGCAGGGGTGTCCAAACCAGACCAGAAAGGGCCGCTGTAGCTGCAGGTTTTCTTTCAGACCCAGCAGGACCAGAGCAGACTCCTCCCATTTCCTCAAATCTTCAGGTTAAGACTGAACTCACCTGAGGAAATGGGTGGAGTCTACTCTGCTTCTGTTGGGTCGGATAGAAAACCTGCAGCCACAGCGGCCCTTTCTGGACCGGTTTGAACACCCCTGATCTAGTGGTAGAAGTGGGGAATTACAAGCTGAGAACTTTTCTAATTGTGTATCCATGTATTTTCTAAGTAAATAGTATCAGCAGAACACAAGTACATCTAATTTCAGCATTTTCTGTGTTCACAATTTATGCAGCATATTACATTATGCTAGATTTGAGCATTTGAACGTAAGACATTTCAGTTTCATCTGCGTAAACATCAGAAACTTCGCTTCTCCAGTCCTGCTGTCACATCAAAGAAGTATTTTATTTCTTTTTGCTATTGGTTTTGTTATATTTTGTTGTTTGGTCAAAGTCTACACTGCCAAAAATGATAAAATGAGGTAATACTTATTTTAATGCGAGTACTTCATGACTATATTAAAACTAGATTTGCCAATAGGACAAACCCATCAAGTCTCACTTCAAAAACTGTTTTCCAAGAGACATTTCTTGTATCATTTTAAAATAAGATCATTTTGCTTTGTCCTTTTGATAAATCTTGTTTTCAGACACACAACATTTACTCAAATTAAGAAACATTATGCCACATTTGAGCAATTATTGACCTTTTTTTCTTTACTTTAAAAAAAAAAAGCAGTGAGACAGATGAGGCGGGGGCGTGTTTGCGGCTATATGAGACAGAAGTTCTTGATTGTAAATTCCCTCGTCGACCTCCAATCCTGAAGACTGGAGACACACACGTGCAACAGGTTTGAGCAATAATGTGTTTTTTTCGCCAAACCAAAGACACAAACGAACACTGAGAAACCGTTTGTTGTTATGCTAATGAAAAAACCTGAACTACAGCAGCTCTAATGGTCTGAACTTCTCACCAGAGCCTCGTTGGCGAGTCGCGCCTCGTCCTGCAGCTGGAAAAGTCTCCGCTCCATTTCCTCCTTCGCCCGCTCCGCCTCCTCCCGCATCTGCTTCTCTCGAGCCAGGATCTGCCGCTCCATCTGCCGCCACATTTTTAGAAGTAAGAACTTGGGTGCGACAGTGGCTCAAGATGGTAGAGGACTGGTCTTCGGGCCTAATGATCATGAGTTCAATGTCCCGCCACAAGACTATCTCCTCCCGCTGATACCTGATGTGGTTATGTCTCTGGGCCTGACACTCTGATGATCCCACTCTGACTGACAGACCAAGGCCATGTGTAACCTAGTGAATTTTCAGGTACATTTTTGTCTTATCGTTTTGTCCGCAAATCTTGTTGGTATTGAACTGGGAGCGAGACCTCACTTCAACAGAGCTTTAACCATTATATGTTTATGTGTGTTGCCTTGAGCATCCCATTTTCCTCTGTAGCTAAATCTAGAGCTTCTGATTTTAGCCTCATTGCAATTTCTATAACCACTGGTACTATTCTTACTACTGCTGCCTTACACTGCTGGACACCAGACAACCCGCTTTAAATATTTAATAATTAATACATTCTAAAACAGTGAAACTAAAGAGGAATAAGAAGAATCGACTATGAACTACAAGTTTTTATCCAGGACCTTTTTATTATATTTGATGCAGAATTGGACTAATACTTTAGAGGTAAAAAGTGAGGATGAGCTGGGGGTTGGAGAGGAGACAAGACAAACGATGTGTGTATGTATGTGTTAATAACTATACTATGTTTGCTAAATTTCTATTAATGTATTATATTGTATTGTTGAGCATGTCAGCCATCCTTGTATCAAAAGGACCCCAGAGATGATTCATCTCAATGTGGCCATATTTAAATAAATAAAAAACAGACTTCAAAGCCCTGCTGCACTTTTCTGTTGTTAATGTACTTTCTGATTCTTTTCTATTCTCATTCTTTCATGCAGACCCGTGTAGCACTGTATCCCACAGCATATTTCCCTTGGGGACAGTAAAGTTTAAATTATCTTATGGGTGGCCGCTCTGATTGCTACTACCACGCAAATTTGTTTAGCATTAATGAAGATTGAATGAAGAGCAGTATATCCGGCAAAACCTGTGATAATTCAAAACCCAAATCGTCCCAGTGCTTTTTACACAAACCTTTTTTCGAGCCTTCTCCTCTTTGGCCTGAGCCTTCATCTGCTGCACCTCTATAGAGTCCACCTTCCTCCTCCTCATGAACAGGTCGTGGTTCCCGATGCACAGCTGCAGGATCTACAGCAGGAGGAACATCACTCTAAAATATGTTAACACTTAAATATTCAGAAGTCTCAGGCAGGTACACAGACCAGCTTGTTGACTCGTAGCTGAGACGAGTAGAATTTGAAGACGTCTTTCTTCTTGTCTAGAGGCTTGATGGTGAACTGAAAGACAATTCAACAAGTTAAAGGGGGTACCTGACTTGTACATGCTCATGACAAGGCAAGGCAAGTTTATTTGTATAGCACAATTCATACACAAGGCAACTCAAAGTGCTGAACAAGATAGCATTAAAATCATAAATAATCACAGAACATTAAAAGGAAAGATAAAAACATAAAATCCCTCAGTTGTATGCACAGCTAAACAGAACTGTTTTTAACCTGGTTTTCAACATTGTCAGAGAGGAGGCCTGTCTCACATCTTCAGGAAGATTGTTCCAGATTTTAGCAGCATGAATCTGAAAAGCAGCCTCCCCATGTTTAGTTCTGACTCTGGGCACTAACAGGAGTCCAGTCCCTGTGCTCCTCAGAGTCCGGGCTGGTTCATATGGGACTAACATGTCACTAATATATTTTGGTGCAAGGCCATGGAGAGACAAAGTCGTGGTTCTACACAGGTGTTCTGAGCCCACCTCTTTCTCGCTGTAGGAGATGTTGCGGATGCCGCTCCAGGGAAAGGACTTGTTGGGGTTGAGTTTGCTGTTGGGGCTGTAGATGTGAAGGCCCTGAGCGTCCACTCCCAGCAGCAGATCTGTGTCCCTTTTGTTTTGCTTTTTTTGTCACCAGATACAAAATAAAACAGAAAATTTAAAACAAATACGCAGCACCAAGGTTAAGCGAGATGATTAGAGATGAAAAGAAGGAACAGGGGAAAAGACACCACAACATACTCACCGTTATTGCAAAGTAGCTCACGCCGTACATCTCCAGGTCTTGTGCGATCTTCAGGTATTCCATCTCCGCCTCGTCTCTGCACAGGACACACTGTTTAGTATGTGGTGCATCGTTGCGTGGCCTCGGTCCTCGTTCTACAGCCTCCCTCTATGTGGGCCTTCCCAAGGTTTCTCAATTTTCTCCCAAAGGGTTTTTAAGAGTTTGTCCTTGCCAATGCAGGAGGGTCTAAGGACAGTGGTGATGATACAGGGCACTCGACATTCAACAACATTTATGGACTTTATCAACATTTAACTACCATCGGCAGAAAAAATGACATTCTCCGATGGTAGGCACATACGAAGATAAACCTTAGTATCTTCCTCAGTAGAAGAAACAAAGAAGATGGCGGCAGTTGTGTGGCAATATTTTACAGGATCAGAAAAATATCAGCGTTATGTAGTTTGTAGTTTGTTTCAGTGAGATATCAAGAGACATTTGAAAAACATGAGGTGGTGTACAGAGAATGCATGAAGCTGAAGAAAAACAGAAAACTGAAGCCACCAAGAAATATATATATATATATATATATTTCTAAATAACAAAAAGAAAAAACTTCGGCTATCTGCAAAATTTTTATGTAAAAGATCAGTATCGGCCCAAAATATGACACTCGGTGCAACCCTAGTTTGAACTGTTTGATTAAGGGTTGGCAAATTTGACGGTTTTGTAAAGGCTTATACGAGAAATAAATAGAATTTGAACGTCTTTGACAGCTTTACAGAGTGTCTCTCTGTAAGAACCCTCTGCATTTACAATCAAAGCTCTCACTGCGGCTCAGGGATGTCGTATTCAGTTATGATTATGGCTGCTATAAAAAGCCACCATCAATAGAAAAGTATTTCAGAACAGACAGAGGATTCTATTTGAATAATGGCAATAATGAGTGATTATCGTTTTTATCAAAATAGTTTAAATGGTAATCAGGGTATTAAAAATGACATTGATTTATTGTTAGCAGCCAGTAATACAATAATGATCAATCCATCTTTTTTATTCACATATGATACCTATCTCAAAAATTAGGCTTTCAGAATCTGCAGAGAACATATAGTCAAGCACTGAAAACGTATTTTATTTCCAGACCACGTTCACATTTATTTATCCGACAACTGTTTTTGGGCAACGGTGTCTTAGTGATTTCCCTTGTGGATCCATAAAGACTGTCGAAGTCCAAGTCTAAATACCAGAACAAGTTTAAGTAAAAAATATTATACATGGGTTAAAGTTGAAAAAATTCCTGAGCCTGAACCATCTATATGAATCATAGAATGATCACTAATAAGCGTTTTTTATAAGCGCCTTTATACGCTCATACATATAATTTATATCTATTTAATGCCAACAACTGATGTTTATTATAAACATCAGTTGTTGGCAATAAATACATCATCCAGGGGTTAAAGCAAAAAAAAAAAGATTTGACTGAAAATTTTCTCATGGAAATATAATGAATTACAGATCAAACGAATTCTTCAAAGATATACATTCAAACTGGTGTATTTTGATGTGAAATTACAACCAGTGGATCAAGCAACTTGTCAACTCTTTGACAGAATATTAGTGAGAGTAGTTCATCTGCATCATTGGCTTTACTTGAGGCGAGATGAGGCGTTGTCCTTTGGCTCTGTCCTCGTCAAAATATCGCAAAAGGACATTCAAAATTCTGTCCACATTTGTTTGTGGACACTCAATGTTTAAGAAAAAGGTTTCCCTATCAACTTGGTGCTAGTGCACAGCGCAGTTTTATCAACTGCAAATGATTAATGATAATTAAATCTACCAGCGGTAGTGATGGTTCTGAACGACAGGTTATTTTCTGCGATAAAGCCACAGATAGTTTTAGGTCACAGACACAGTCCACCAGAGCAAGCCTAGTCTCAGTTGTCGCTGAATCTGATGCACCAGGTAAAGAAGTGTGGGAAAGTGCACGGACAGCTGCCAAGTGCGCAGTTTTGAGCTGGTGGTGAATCCAAAGCTGTTTTCTCATTACTCCCATATAAAAAAATAATAATAGCGAAGTACGAACAAGCACCGGACACCTTCATCTTTTTGCACCATGAAGCAACAGAATCCCATCGTCTCCACCTCATCCAGCCATGCCCACCTCCATTTATTTTTCACTCCGTTATCAACAGCAACTTATACAGCTCCTTCTTCCATAAACAACGATCCATGATTGTGATTGTGCGTGCATGCTAGGCTAGCTTTGATGAATGAATATAAGACCTGCTAACACACACCTTTCTTCAGCGAGTTTCTTCTGTTCGCTCTCGTTGATTGGCTCTTTTTATCACGCAGTTTTGCATGCGGATCGCCACCAAGATATTATCAAAAGCTCACCAAGACATGCTTGTCCCCATTCCCAGTCACAGCAAAGTACATATTGTACATTCCGTTAAATAAAAAAGCATTGCGTTTGGTAAACGTTAATTATGTCCTACCTTTCCTCTGATAACGCGCCCAGTTTACCGGTCCGCGGGCTGCTGGCTGTTATTGCTCCGTTCGGGATTACATTTTCCTTGTCCTCTTCTCCTTTTCAAAAGCTCCGTGCACTTTTCAGAAACTTTCACCTCCGTGTTACCATCGCTAACTTGGCTACGTCCCATTGCCTTGAATCATTTACGGAGCGCTCATGTAGCTAGCCACGGCACGTTCAAGGCCCACTCGTTACTTTTTATTTCTATATACATATAAATACAATTATATTCAAATTATTAATATATATCTAGATATATACAAAAGATTCACACGTATTACTATATATTTTGTTATAATTAACCATTTCATTGTGTGTATTATATTATTATTATATTTTTTTTTTTTTTTTCAGACCAATTTCATTTGACGGAAATCCGTCACTTAGACGGAACTCTTTAATCCCTGCGCTATACACATGCAATCCTTTCATACAATTGGTAGAACACACTTGAACCTTTTTTCAAATGACAGCAATCATTATTTATTTATATATATATTAAAAAAAAAAAAAAAAAAAAAGTGATGTTTTTTTTTTTTTTTTATCACGCCGGATTTTCGGCACGGTGCCGGAAAACTTTAAGCCCTGATTATATTCTGTGTTAGATTAATATTACATAGTAAAGTCTGAGAAGAAAACTAGATACTAGTTTAAGTGTTGATACTAAATATAAACAAGATATTTTTTTTTTTTTATATTGTCCAACAAGCATTCATAAATAGCAGAAGCGATTCCCGACAAATGCTCCTGATGGATTATTTAACACCAGTATCAATATTGTTTCTCCCCAAACTAAAATCTTTAGTGTGACAGTTGAAATCTTGACAGAGAACAACACAATATACGTAATTCTTTATTATGCTAAAAAGAGAGATTTTATACTTTCTTCTTAATGATGCTAAAGCTAGAGATTATACACTATCTTATTTATTATGCTACAGCTAGCGATTGTATTTTATTTTAGTATAGAGTTATTGTTCATTTATCTTTTGCTGTGTGCTGCTCATTCCTACTGTTCTGTAACTGATGATGCGACGCGGGCATTTCCCCACTGCGGGGCGAATAATAGGATCTTTTAATCTTAATAAAACGTTATCCTTGTCCAGTTAAATCTAAAATCACATGAGATAACTGATGCAGACTGTGGGACTTTGACAGGAGGCTCCAGGACGACACGGATCAGTGAATACGGCGGCTGTTGGTGAAGCGTAATCATGTGAGCGGTACCTGGCGATGCCTCGGTGCTCTGCATACCAAGCTGTGATCTTCTCCTCCCACATGTCAGCTGTCATCTGATACTGCATCAGCACCTGAGCAGCACAGAGGCGGCAGAGACATGTGTTAAATATAACAATGTAAATCTGTCTATCACAAGGGCAAACACACTTTACCCTCTTTGGGAGCAGCTCGTCCTGAGCCAGAAAACCGGGTTTGTGAAAGTTGGGGTCATAGTCTCCGTACTACAGGGCAAAAGGAAACATCAATATACTGAGGGTTAAAGTCTGGGATTGATAGAAGCAATCCTGGTCAAAAACATTATTGAAAGAATGATTTTGTGATGTCTAAGTCAACAGGACTCGAAATCAATGAGTGTCAGTCAATAAGATGTCATGAATGCAAGAAGAGCTGGACCTTCTGACCAAATGCTGACTGTTTACATTGAATTCTACTTATGGTGACATGTTTTAATAGGGATGGAATTTGGCAAATATTTTAGAATTCAATAATGGTGAGATATTTGGGCCACAATTCAATTTTAATGCAATTCTTAACATATTGCAATACAGCAAATATTGTGATTTTATTCTGCGATATATTGCGATTCCTCATACTATTCAAAGGCATTACACAAATTGAGGAGAATAAGATTGCACAACTCAAATATCCCTTCGATTATGGTCAGCACATTAACTGAAGAGCAAAAACTTTAAAAGTTGAATGCAAAAACCCTTCATGTAGAATCCATTTGAACTTCCTATTGAATAAATGCACAAAAACAAAGCACCACAACAAGTGGATGTAATACACAAATATAGATTACCAGAGTAAACCCAAAGAAAACGTGAAAGTGAAACAAATAATGATTTAATCAATTATTGCAATACTTTGCTCTACTGTATTTATTTAATTGAACAGACTACATTTTTTTCCACATCTAGAAATGCTTGTTTACACGTCTGACATGTTTCTAATGGTTAATGGAGACATTTCTAATGGAGACAATGATTGATTCTTTGCCGATGCTACTCTGTCCATCTTAGGAGAATTGAGGGTTGACTCAGGACCATGACTTCAATTATTATTATTTATCATAGTCTGGATAATGGCAATACTACAACAAAACATATGTAACTACCTCAATCTAAACGGTAACAGATAATAGAATTAAAGGTTTTCTTCTTACTTTTGCTTGGACGGCGTATGAGGCGAGGAGAACCGACGCTTCAGGGGAACATAGTATTTCTTCTTCTAGTATTTGTTTTTTCACCTGAATAAACATTGTAGTAAATTCAAGAGTAAGTGTGTGCTATACATGTGTCTATATTTAAAATGAGTACACGACCGTTTTACCTGTAAGAAGAAAAGATGCTGTGTAATTTCTTGGACCAATTCTTCTTCTACTTTTTCAGGGAAGAATTTAGCCAAAAAATGAAACGTTATTGGTGAATCTTTGGGAACTTCCTGATCCAAAACCTAAGAAACAAGCAGTTATCAACAAATATTCAAGTAAGTAATAGTTATTCAGAACAAGTCCTCACTCTTTTGTCGGGTTTCAACCAGGCGTATGTGTCTTTTACTGTGTATCGGAGTCCAAAGAACCAGGTCTCCCTCAAACCGACAGTTCGACAAACCAAATCAAATAGATCTTTACCTTTCCACTTTACCTACAACAATATTTTGATAACATCAAAACATGCAAAGTTCAATGGGGGAAAAGCACCAACTATTACTATAGATTTATGTTACAAGCATGTCTTGGTACATCACCTCACAACTGAACTCCATCTCTGCATCCATAGTTATAACTTTGACTTTAAACGTCTTTGGTTGCTTCTTCTTTAATCCCAGAATAGACATCTTTAGATTTCTATTAAGTCATTTAAAGAGAACACAAAGGGGCAAATATTTTAAATCACAGATGAACACCAGGGTTGATATTATGGGCTAACATAGAACAGACAATTAAAGCTTAACTGATTGATGGCTTAGAAGATTTTCGTTAGCTTAATTATAAAGCTAAAGAAAATGTATTCGTATTTAAGGATATTAAATATGCACAGAGTAATTAAAAGAGTATTCTTGCCTGTCAGTAGCGTAGATATTAGCTTTTCGGTGCACGGTCCAACAGGATGAACTGTGAAGCTTTTTGTTTGGGGGCGGCTATGCTAACTATGCTAAGCTAACAGATGTTTCGGGAACTTTTCATGCTACGAAAACAGGAAAAAAGGCACTTGGAGCGAGGAGACTCTTTAGAAGAACCCATGATATAAATCAAAACTAAATAAACACGCTAAACATCAAATACCAACTTAAATAAAACAACAACAATATAAACTTTTATCGGAGTTTTAACAGTGCCGCCGGAGACTTTTTCGGGATTGTTTTGGGAAGGGGAGTAACTGCAAGATTTAGGCACTGCGCATGCGTGAATGAATAACAGTATATAAACTATATAATAACCCAAAATAATGAGCTAATTTCAATTTACTCATGAATCTTATATACATGTAGTATTTATGAGTACGTCAAATGCATATTGTAATTTGATACACGATAAGCGATAGATGGGAAAGTTGTTGAACCTGCAAGGCAAAACTCAGGGTAAAAAGCTTTGACATTATTCGGGATTGCTTCCTTATTTATTACTCCACGTTGTTCGGACTATGTTTCTGTAGCTGTGTGTTTGAGAACGGTAATTCATTTAAACTCGTCATAACACAAACCTGAGGTTTCTCATTTTCCTCCCACTGTTATCATTATTTATTTTTTATTATTTTGTTGTTGTCGTTCCTTGCCGATCCTGGAGGGTCTAAGGACAGATCTCATATAATCAAGGACTGATCTTTTATTTAGATCGGCTGATGCGTTGCGCTATTTTTAACTCTTTTTTATCTCTCTTCTCTTGACGCTAATTGTGTGCAAAGTCCATTCTGTGCAGCCATTTGACAACAGAGTAGGAACATTAAAAGCTCGGTAAAGCAAAAGGGTTTTCGGCAAGTGAATGGTTTGCAGTGGTGAGGATTAATAGCAATGGAATCGAAATAGCACACACATTAAAATCCTTTGTGTGCCAAAACATAGCTATTATCTTGAGTTAGGTATAGGCCTATGATGGGTTTTTTTTAATTTGCCAAAAAATATATGTTTATTACAGACACAATACATGTTATTTTCATTTTCATGTGTTTATTTATTTCAGGCAATGGCACAGATAAGTACAAGGCATACAGTCATATATTTCAAAAAGATAAAGATAAAAATGGGAAGTTTCTTATTCTGCCTGAAAGGAAGTGGGAAATAAACATTTGAATCAACATTTCACAACTAAATCTGCCAGAATTACTACCAAAAGGCTTTTCTTCATCTGTTGTTTAGCCTGAAGTCGGTCTATTCTTAGTAGATTATTTTTTGTTTGAGAATTTACTTCCTGTTAAGTAAATTATTTTTTTATATATATATATATATATATATATATATATATATATATATATATATATATATATATACATTTTATCATTCATTCTGTGCATGTTCCATTTGGGATACTGGCTTTACTTGAGAACATTGTCAAACAAAATTGTGTTTATTTTTGTACATCCCTAAACCACAACAGGATTTAGAGGACTTTACAATGTTTTTGATTCGCCAACAACGGATCAGAGAATCAAACAGTTGGAACACAGGAAATGCAATGATAACAAACACACAGGAGCCATTGGTACATAGGGAGCAGGATGACCAATCTGCATAAATATAGTCTTTAAATGTGCATACATTTCCTTCAATGTCCCAGATCTGTCCTTAGACCCTCCTGGATCTGAAAGGAACGGCAACAACAAAATAATAATGATAACAGTGGGGGGAAAATGAGAAACCTCCAGGAGGCGTGTTATTGATTCATACATTTATTATAACTTAATCTGATATGTTTATCATTAAAATCCCTACAGTATTTTTAACCCATATTTTGGCGGTTCTAGTTTACAGCTTGTTCTGCATTATTCATATTTTCTTTCTCTTCTAGTTGCAATGACCTCGTCCAGTGATCGTTTCGAACACGTGAAAGCCATCATCTTATCCTGTCATGAAGACACGTCTGCAGAGGAGAAGATGCGTTTCTATGATGCCTGGGCCAAGAGCTATGATCAGGTTACTCCCCTGTCTCTGCAGATTAAATACACTCCAGAAGTAATAATGCTGTAATAACATGTTGTAATAATGCTCTGTGTTAGGACCTGTCTGTGTTGGATTATCGTGCACCTGTGATTTCTGCCAACGCTCTCTCCTCTCATTTCACTGGAGACAGAAACACAGCGCTGGTGTTAGATGTGGCCTGTGGCACAGGACTGGTGGCCAAAGAGGTAATACATTAGTCAGCCGTTACACAATGATGAAATATGAGGCAATAAATGGTTAAATCAGGTCATATCTTAATTTGAGTACTTTCTTATTTGACAATGTGACAAACAATTTCTTTATATTTCATGAACTGGAAAATCTTGTGTAAGGCAGTCAAAAAGTGCTCAAATTAAGACATTTTGCCAAATTTGAGCATTTTTTGCTTAATTTTAATCACTGTTTGTAGTTTATGGTGAAGGCAGTTCAAAACAATCCAGTGGGAAATAATATAACATATTGTTTTCTTTGTCCAAAACCAGATGGATATAGTTGGTATAGTTTCTATATTGCAAAAGTTTTTTCTTTGTATGTGTGGCCATACTGCATGTTTAAGCCAGATCCTGTCAGACCTCTAAAGCTAAGCAGGGCAGGGCTAGGTTAGTACTATGATGGGAGACCTCTGTAAGCACCAGGCTTGTGCCAACTGTTCTTAGGCAAGACATTTCACCCATATTGTCTAGAATGAGTCTGGTGTTCAGAGGGACTGATGGCACACTGCACAGACAGTCTCGCTTCTGTCAGTGTGTCCCAGGGCAGCTGTGGCTACAGTAGTAGTTTTTCAGTGAATGAGTGAAAGAATAATGACATGTGAAGCGTCTTTGTGTCCAGAAAAGCCCTTTATAAAACCGATGCATTATTATTATTATTATTATACAGTATATTGGAGTTGGCTTAAACTTCAAATTGTTATTACATAAATATGTAAAGTGAAACCAAAAATGTAAATAGTTAGGACAAGTTGATTGAATATTATGACTATCATTTGTTGCTTTTTTAATGTTATAATTAAGTTGAAGGTTTAAACTTGTCATTAGTTACTATATTTATTTCTGGATCGATGTTTCAAGCTTTATCTTTGTTGGTGTTAAAGAAAATGACATAAGATTGGGATAAATGATATATCTGTGTATATTACCTGATTACTCATGACTTATTGCTGTTTGCTTGTTCAGTTGAGGAGTCTCGGCTTCAGTCGTTTCGTGGGGGTCGACGGCAGTTCGGCCATGTTGGAAATGGCAAAGAACGCCGGACTCTACGAGGACGTGAAGCAGTGCATACTGGGAAGTCAGCCTTTACCGTTTCAGCATGGTAATGTCAACTCCAAATGTACATATTTGAAACTGCTTCATAATAGTAAACATGGGAATAATAAACGTTAAGTGCTGATGGAGTTTAGACAGATCTTGTTTATGGCCAGTTTTCTACAAACTGGTTTTTCTTTTGCTGCAGGAACGTTTGAGGCTGTGATCATCGTTGGAGCTCTCAGCGATGGTCAGGTTCCTGTGAAAGTGGTCAGAGAGTTGTGCATGCTGACCAAACCGGGTGAGTTTGATTCAAATCTATAAGTACAGTATATATAATATGATGTAGGTACAGGTATAGATTATCGGAGAATCACTGTACCAAATTGGGAGCTGAGAGTGAAGGAGCTTTTACTGCATCTTAAGCCCCATTTCCACCAGCTCTACGCTACCCTACCCTACCCTACACTACTCTACTCTACTCTACTCTACTCTACTCTACTCTACTCTACTCTACTCTACTCTACTCTACCCTACCCTACCCTTCTCTACTCTACTCTACTCTACCCTACCCTACTCTACTCTACTCTACTCTACTCTACTCTACTCTACCCTACCCTACTCTACTCTACTCTACTATCCTCTACTCTACCCTACCCTACCCTACTCTACTCTACTCTACTCTACTCTACCCTACCCTACCCTACTCTACTCTACTCTACTCTACTCTACTCTACTACTCTACCCTACTACCTACCCTACTCTACTCTACTCTACTCTACTCTACCTACTCTACTCTACTCTACCCTACCCTACCCTACTCTACCCTACTCTACACTACTCTACTCTACCCTACCCTACTCTACTCTACTCTACTCTACTCTACTCTACCCTACCCTACTCTACTGTACTCTACTATCCTCTACTCTTCCCTACTCTACTCTACTCTACTCTACTCTACCCTACTCCACTCTACTCTATCCTACCCTACCCCTCTCTACTCTACTCTACACGATTCTACTTTACTCCACTCTACTCTACTCTACTCTGCCCTACTCTACTCTACTCTACCCTACTCTACTCTACTCTACCCTACCCTACCCTACTCTACTCTACTCTACTCCACTCTGCCCTACTCTACTCTACCCTACCCTACCCTATCCTACTTAACTCTACTATCCTCTACTCTACCCTACTCCACTCTACTCTACCCTACTCTACTCTACCCTACCCTACCCCTCTCTACTCTACTCTACAGGATTCTACTTTACTGTACTGTACTCTACTCTACTATCCTCTACTCTGCCCTACTCTACTCTACTCTACTCTACCCTACTCCACTCTACTCTACCCTACTCTACTCTACCCCACCCTACCCCTCTTTACTCTACTCTACTCTACTCTACTCTACTCTACTTTACCCTACTCTATTCTACTCTACCCCACTTGAGAGCATTTCCACCTGTTTAACCGGTACCAGGTTTTTTTTTAGTACCTGCTTGGTCCTGGTTCTATCCAGGCCGACTTGGGTGACTGAGAGAGATTGACCAGAGTCCTGCTGGAAGCCATGGTTACCAAGGAATTTACCTTGATTCTGGTTTCAGTAGAGTAGAGTATAGTAGAGCTGGTGGAAACCTGGCTACATAATGGACATCCTATTTTTTTAAGATTTGAATTTCAATTGTTTAAACTAAACTCGGTTCAGGTTTTAATGCTGTGAACAAATATTTCCCTGTTCTTCTTTCTCAGGAGGCTTCACGTGTTTGACCACCAGAGCCAACAGAGATAATCTTGCGTACAAAAACAGCCTGGAGGAGGAGCTGAGGAGTCTGGAGCAGCAGGCTCTGTGGAGGCGGGTCCAAACGCTCAACGTCGACCAATGGGAACGCGCCGTGTCACACCACGAGCACGGATACATCTCAGGAGTGGTCTACCTCTTCCAGAGACTGTGACCAATCATTTATAATTAAATACAGTTATAATAATGTACAGTTTTGAATGAGAGTCTACACACCCAGGAAGAAAAGGCTTTGGTTTGGAATATTGTGGACACTGGGAGTTTGTGGGTGTGCGACACGGTGGTGCAACACAACAGACGGGGGTGTGGAGTTTGCATGTTCTCCCTGTGTCTGCAAAGGTTTTTCTTCAGGTCCTCTCATCTTTCTCTCTGGTCTCTCTCTCTCTGATTGGTCTCTCTGATCGCTTTTTGGTTGCACTCTCTGGTCTCTCTCTGGTCGCTCTTCTCTCTCTCTCTTTTCTCTCTCTCTGGTATCTCCCTGGTCTCTCTCTGGTCTCTCTTCTCTCTCGTTTCTCTCTCTGGTCTCTCTCTGGTCGCTCTCTCTGGTCTCTCTCTCTTGTCTCTCTCTCTTGTCTCTCTGGTCTCTCTCTCTGGTCTCTCTGGTCGCTTTCTCTGGTCTCTCTCTGGTCGCTCTCTCTGGTCTCTCTCTGGTCTCTTTCTCTGGTCTCTTTCTGGTCTCTCTCTCTTGTCTCCAGTTTATCCCCTACCACCCAAATCATGTACAGCAGGTCTGAATGTAATGCGTGATTGAATGGATGGTGATTGTTAGTGACTCTGATTAGTGTGTGTAGAGAATCCAAAAATACACTGGTCCCTCACCATGAAGCGGTTCAATGTTTTTTTGTTTTTTGTGTAAAATGTATGTTGATTTTTTTATTTACAGCATCCTTCCAATGTGCTGTGTGTATACTCCAACAGCATCATATAACCGCTTGTACAGCATGACCGCGCGCTTTATTTAAAATTATGAGAAAACGTTTGTGCATAAAATGTAATAAAATCTCTAATTCTAGCACTAGCACTAGCATAAAAGATAAGCAAGCATAGCATAATAAAAAAACAAATGTAAAATCTCCAACTTTAGCCTAATGAAGAAGCAAGAATTAAGTGAAAAAATCTCTGACTTTAGCATAATAAAGTATAAATATAATAAAATCCCTATACCTCTGATCAGGGCCAGATGAGAAGTTCCCTTGTTCATCATAAGTTGAAAATAATTGACAGAAAATTGCTTCATACGATCACTAGGGAAGAGTATAAATAAAATAAAATATCTATACTTCTGATTATACAACTACCAAGACAGAGTGTCTGGCTTTGTAAACAATCAAGCACAGCTGTAACTCACTGGGAAAGAGTAAATATGTCTTTGTCAAATGAAATGGGAGACAGAGATATTTATAAAAACTGTAAAGATGGCGCCGTGGCAAGAGCTCTGGTGTGTGTCGTCTGGTGCACACTGGGGTAGTCTTGCACAGTTTTTCCAATGTGGTTTTACTGCAAATGGCAAATAAATGAATCTGAATCTGAACTACATTAAACGTGTTCGTTTTTCCAACAGACCTTATAAACTCTTTAAAAAAACACATTTAGAAGATTATAGATGCAATATTTCCAATCAAAGATCATCTGTGCATTTGCTGATTGTACTTCTTCCGTTCAGCTGCTGGTCTTGTCCCATATTAAATGTCAAACTTAATTCATTACTAGAAATGATACTCTATCCCATTGCGATTATTTGTAAATGATCTTTTCTGTATGACATTGAACTGTAATTTTTAACTCAAAATATGAATACTTGTTATCGGCCGATACAGTTTTAATCAGGTTCTTATGATAAAGTTTAAAATTAATAAAAGAGTGTCAAATTCTGTCCTGTTTCTTTTCTGTCATTTTAATTAAATTTTTTTGCCCTGTTTTCACTTGCCCCACTTGTCCCTACTTTAACTGATACCAGGTACTTTTGTTAGCACCTACTTGGCTGTGTTCCAACCATAGACTGTATATATTACAGACGTAGTCACGCCTATTTCCGCCGTTCTAACTAATGGGCCAAAAATTGGGCTCTCATGGAGTGATTCAAAATGGCAGAGGGGGCTGGAAAATGTGAAAAAACGCATCTGCGCATGCATCAGCCGGCACGAGTTCCATTCATTTAAACGAGAGACTTCAAAAATTTCACAGCGACTAAACTAGAGTGGTCCAAAAAAATTCACTCCCCTCAGCATTGACACACATGTGGAACGGAGCTTTGAGCCAAGAGCCAACTTTTGGACCATCCTGTAAAGGTGTTTTCGAGAGGTCTGCCAATGTTATATGTTAGCATTGGCTAATTCTTTTTCCGGGTCCACCCCCATCGCCCTGGGGTGGTATTGCAAGCATGTCAGCGCACGTCATTTTGGCCACTTTTGATCCGGGACCCGCCCCCACTAGTTCCAACTGACAGTGATTGGCAGAGTGCTACATGAAGCCATGGTTACCGAGGAAATTCCAAGGGGTATTGGTTTGTTGGTTGAATACTGAGGAGAAACTAAAGTATAATGGAAACACAACTGAGTAGGGTAGGGTAGAGTCACAAAGTGGTTTCCAATTGTGGGCATTTGTCTCAAACTCCACAAAGAGGTGGGAGCGGGGCCACATGCCAGAAATATTGAACATGTTTTTTATAGGGGAAACCGGAGTAGCTTGTGGAAACCTACGCAGACACAGGGAGAACATGAAAACTCCATTCAGAAAGGCCCTGCTTTCAGCAGTAGTACAGGAGGGTAGAGTAGTGTAGAGTACAGTAGAGCAGTGGTAGGGTAGAGTAGAATAGGTTAGAGTAGGGTAGGTATATAGTAGAGTGGAATGGGGTATGATAAAGTAGAGTATAGGTATAGGGGAGGGTAGAGTGGAGCAGAGGGACAAGAAGGGCTGGTGGAAATGAGGCCTATCTTTGCTCAAATTAGAGTTTAGTTTTGATTCTAGTTCAGTATAAATAATATTAGTTTTCAGATACTTTTGACAGCGCTCAGGAAGGAAGTAGTCGGCCATGACCCCTCTGTTCTCTTCAGTTATATTGAAGCCCATCTTGTGCTACGACAAAAGGACATTTTCACTTGATTTTCTTATGTTTACAAACCGTTTGTTTTATGATTTCCACAAATGTCTGTCTCATTAAACTGAATGGGATGGTGTCCACCATCCGTGACCTGCTGTGCCAGCGAAGTTTTATCTCTGGAAAAAAAAGTAGACACTGAAAAACAAACTATTTTGGCGAAAGGAACCATTAGGAAAACCCATGAATAAATGAATGGTATGGATTTATTCTGTTCTGCTGTGGATGAGTGCTTACAAGGCATTTTCTTACTAGACAAACTGAAAAATAATTAATGTAAGTAAAATAATTGCTTGAATCAAGTGAGGTTTTTTTTCTTCATCTGAGCACATTCTGACTGTCTTAAAACAAGATTCTCCAATGGAACAAAGCCATTTAGTCATATTTCCAAAACTGATGGAGACATTTGTTGTATCTTTTTAAAACAATATACTTTTTGCCTTGTCCCATTTGGAAATCGAATCACAATGTGCTTAAAGTAGGAAACAATTAGCCAAATTTTAGCTACTTTAACTTATTTTTCACTTCATCAATGAAAATAGGAAAGAAGAATCAAGTGCAAGAACGATTTATGAAGAATCTTTACTATTCGGATGTATAGAATATGTGTTATGTGGTCTTAATATTAGTCTGACGCAGTTTGGTGCTTTGCTCAACACAAATACAGACGCAATAGTTGCTTATTGTTGTGCTCTATTCTCTCCGCTAGATGGCAGCCAACTCTCTTCAAATTTTTGGACAGGTGCCTTCACAACAAAAATCAATACATGTTTTATACTCAATCTGTTATAATCTATATTCAAACATTTTAGTGCTGTGAATGACCTACATTCACTCCTTTTGGGTATTTATAAAAGCAGTCAGTCTGTCTCTGACCTATATTAATATGTCTTCAGGTCTTTTGTATAAAAAGAGTGAAGATACAATTCTCCAGTTGTAGCCGCTAAACAGAACTGTTTTGACCTGGGTTTGAACATTGTCAGAGACGAAGCCTGTCTCACATTTGAAAGAAGACTGTTCCAGAGTTTAGCTTGACGCTTTTTTATGTGGACCAATTTGTTTTGAGTCTGAGATAAAGATTGATTTATTCATAAATCTGAAATTCTGCCTTTCCATATTTTGTCCTGATTCTGGGCACCAGCAGGAGACCAGTCCCTGTGCTCCTCAGAGTCCCAGCAGGAGACCAGTCCCTGTGCTCCTCAGAGTCCGTGCAGGAGACCAGTCCCTGTGCTCATCAGAGTCCCAGCAGGAGACCAGTCCCTGTGCTCCTCGGAGTCCCAGCAGGAGACCAGTCCCTGTGGTCATCAGAGTCCCAGCAGGAGACCGTCCCTGTGCTCCTCAGAGTCCCAGCAGGAGACCAGTCCCTGTGCTCATCAGAGTCCCAGCAGGAGACCGTCCCTGTGCTCCTCAGAGTCCCAGCAGGAGACCAGTCCCTGTGCTCATCAGAGTCCCAGCAGGAGACCAGTCCCTGTGCTCCTCAGAGTCCCAGGAGACCAGTCCCTGCGCTCATCAGAGTCCCAGCAGGAGACCAGTCCCTGTGCTCATCAGAGTCCCAGCAGGAGACCAGTCCCTGTGCTCCTCAGAGTCCATATGCACGAACATGTCACAGATGTACTTTGGTGCCAGTCCATGTAGAGAACATTGCCCGATTTATCAACTAAACAAATAGTAATAAAATAACCGCTTAGGGGCGCGGCTTAATGGATCTATGACGTAATATTTTGTCAGAACTAAAGTTAAATCCATCAAACTCTGTCATGTTGATGTGTTGCCATCATTGTTTTAATTATTTCTGCGTTTTGTGCCTAAATCCGTATTTGTGTAAACAGTTTATGGGATTAAAGCGCTCTCGGCTGTTGCCATGACGCTACGAGCCAATTCATTAACACAATAATGTAATGACAACACTGGCCCTCGCTGCAGGAGATCATTCAGCAGCTGCAAAACAAACTATGTGGTGTTTAACAGTTATTAAACAAAAATCACAGCGACGGGGTGATAATAGAAATATACATAAATAAATAAATAAAGCGGTATAACTTGATGTGTCATCATTT